CAGCCACTCCAAAAGGTGTTTTTACGTGGCAGGTATGTTACTTTTTAAAACATTCCAATTTTGTTTGTACCAACACTTTAAAAATTAGGGAAGAATTTAAATGTATCCTATTTCGTAAAATAACAACTGGATAATATGCCCTGCTGGGCCCGCATTCCTCGTGGTACCTATGGGAATGGCAGTTCTGAGCCACCATGAGACAGCCTGTACTGCAGTTGAAAAACGAAAAGAGAAATTCACTTGTCCAAGTCAAAGATGTGAACCTTGAAACAATAGCAACTATCGGGTTTAAGGCTTATAGACTATTACCGCATTGGGGCGCTATTTATGATTAAGTTTATATTTATAGTCAAACTCTGAACCTTAGTTTTCTCATTTTAGAACAAAAAGGTTCTTTCTGTAAATATCAATTGAACTTTGGTGGTTACACTTGGATTGTGTTACTTGAAACAAACACAATTAACTTACAGGTAGGCCCAGAGTACTCTGGCTTCTCCCTTCAAGGCAGCCAGATTCCATAGAAATTTGATCTTAGAAATTACATCAACATCCCAGAGAGAGAGAGAGCAAAAGAGAGAGGGGTGTGTGTGTGTGTGTGTGTGTGTGTGTTTGTTTCTGCATGCAGCTATATCTATAGGTATCTATAGGTGGAGTTATGTTGAAATAAGGATTTAGTCTAGAAACTGTTGTGATAGGATTTGTCGTCACTATTAGGCGGCTGAAGGATGCATTTGTTGTTGTTTTTAAGAGACAGGGGCCTGCTTGTTGCCCAGGCTGTAGTGCCATGGCATGATCATAGCTCACAGCTGCCTTGAATTCTTGGGCTCAGTTGATCCTCCCACCTCAGCCTCTTAAGTATCTGGGACTACACACATGCCACTGTGCCTAGCTAATTTTTAAATTCTTTTTTGTAGAGATGAGGTTCTTGTTGTGTTGCCCAGGCTGGTCTCCAACTCTCAGCCTCAAGTGATACTCCTGCCTTGACCTCCCAAAATGTTGGGATTATAGGTGTGAGCCACTATACCTGGCCAAGAATTTGGCCAAGAATTTTCCACAACTTTCTAGTTGTTGAAAATGGGCCTCAGAGAGGTTAAAGGACTCTCCAGGGTCATAAGCTAGTTAACACCGGAGTTATTATAGGCGCCAGTCCTAGTGTTAGCATGTCTTGCCACCATAACTCTTATTGCCCCATTATGTTCTCATCTCCAAACCAGAGAACTGATGCACTGTGAGACTCTTCACCTCTACTTTGATTCCATTTTCTTGTGTATCCAATTCAAGCTACATTTGTTCCTTTGGTATTAATGTAGGCTGTCTATCAGGTGATGTGAAGAATGTTTTCAGAATAATGTTCTATTTTGTCTTTTCAATTTATACACATGACATCAAATTGCAGTCAATTTACAACTAACTATACAAATTAAGAAGTTGGAAAGCGTGCAAAAAAAACCAACTGGTTTATCATTTTCTTTGGTCTTTATTTTTAATTCTGGAAAGTGCTTCTGATCTCAGCCAGTCTTTTAGTGCTAATAAAGACTACGAGGTAGCATTGTTTTTTCCCCCCTTAAATTTCCTCTCTCAGAACCCCTTTGTTCATTTGTCAGCTCAGTTTTAAAATAAGAACTATCAGTGTGAACTTTGATCCACATTAAGCTACATTTACACAAAAGCATAAATCACAGTATCTGGGGCTTGGGGCTGTTAAATGCTTTTCTTTCTTGGGCTCTGTGATCAAGAATGCAGAACAATAAAAAGCGTGGAGCAAAAGAAGTTTTATGGCAGCTTTGAGAGCAGGAAATTAAGTTTTTTTAACATGCAGATGGGTGAAAGGCTGTTCTGTTGCATCTTGGATCACTCAGGCAAATGAACGTCAGTTTATCATTTTAGTGAAATGCAAACTGTAGAAATAGTTCCTACAGTCATATGAACAAGAAGCCCACACAGATGACTGCTTCAGCTGTTTAACTAGGAGCACACTTCCTCATATGACTCTTGAAATACACTCTTTTTGTTTTGTTTCTTTTCAAAAAAAACCGACAAAGACTATATACTATTATGCTTATAGCCAAGTGGCTACTAAAGATAATTTACAGTGGATAACTGGGAATCTGTGAACAGCAGAATAAGGTAGCATTTTACCAGAATGATCTTCGATGTGTCCTTTTTACATATAGGATTTGTTAGCCCACCTGATAATACATGCGAGGTGTCATCCCTTAAATGTAGGCGGTTTCTATGCGCAACATGAAGACATAGGTAATCTGGAGTCCTGGTACAAATGGGCTTTGCATTTGGCATTTTCGCAACCAATCATCAGTGTGAAGGCTCTCTGCAGCAGTCCCAGCAGTTGTGACAATGGGCCAGATGAATGTACTCTTAAGTAGCACATGCATAGCCTTTGGTTTCATTATGGCCAGACTTTTAAACTTTTTGTGACGAAGAACTCCTTTGCTGCTCTCCGGGGGATAGCGGTGCAAAAGAGATATCATGGCATCACAAGATCTATAGTTGGCTGCGATTTGTATTTCCTATATTTAGAGAGATGGTGGCTGAGCCTTAATCAAACTCATTAGGGATCTTTAGCAGTTTAACCATGGAAGGATTTGTGCATTGGAGAAACTCAAGTTATGTTGATGTTGGGTTCATGCATTCATCTCCCTCCTTGTATGAATTCTGCTAAACTTTACAGTAGAACACTTAATTAGGAGTTGATGGTTAATACATGCAAACAATATCCAGTTTATGTGTTTTGGTGTAGATAATAAAGTTTATATGTTTTATGTATTCAGCAAAGCTAAGATAATAAAGTTTATATGTTTTATGTATTCAGCAAAGCTAATGTATTTTAGTAGTGATTTAATTCATTATGGTTTATAAAGTACTTTGAAAACAATTTTAGTTCATCTCTTAAATTATTAGTGTTTATTGGAGTTTCTCCTTTGGAAAATGTTATCATTTTTTAAGTAAGATTTTGTTACATGTGAGAAGTAGCATTAATTTTGCAAAACATGTTTCATTCACATCTGCTGAGGCTAACAGTTGTCCACTGATGAATTCAGAAGAACACTGAAGGCCTGCTTATGATTCAGGGAGCTAGCTCTCTGTTTACCTTGTTTGGCATGAAAAAAGAAAATGCTCATTTCTATTCTACTTTATATTTTGGCACCATTAAAACACTCAAAGCATATTATAATTGCAAATGGATTTTGGAATGGTGATATATTCTAGAAGTGATATAAGCAAATTGCATTAAAAGGAATTCACAGAATGCAGCACCTCTGCAGTAAGCCTGTCTGTCTTTCAGGTTGACCCCCTGTTTACAGTGCCAGCGCCACCACCGCCGATTTCCAGCAGTCTCACGCCTCAGATTCTACCCTCCTACTTTTCCCCATCTTCATCCAATATTGCAGCACCGGTTGAACAGCTTTTGGTTCGCACTCGTTCTGTGGGTGTCAATACATGTGAAGTTGGAGTAGTGACAGAGCCAGAGTGTCTTGGGCCCTGTGAACCCGGGACCAGTGTCAATTTGGAAGGGATCGTGTGGCATGAAACAGAAGAAGGTAAATACAATTTATTTTTATCTATTTCCCCATGCCCTCTTCCCCACGATGTATTTATGTCCACCTATGAGGAGAATTTGTTTTGTGGTATTCAGAGAGGAAAGAAAAGTGGTTTTTTACGCTCTCTGGATTTGTGTTGAAATAAGAGCTGTATTTGTCTTGTGCATGGCTGCTTTTACGTTGTGGATGAGTCGGGTATTTCTAAAAGTGATTTCTCTTCTTTAAGTGCTAACATGGAAGGACTGTGAAAAGCAGGGTCAGGGTTTACTCTAACCCCTAAAAGGTATTGTGGAAATTAGGAAGGGGGATAGAGCTCAAGTTAATTTAATTCTTAGGGTGCCAACCAATGTGTTTGTCTTGCCATGGTGGTTTCTGCGTTGTACAGGCTTATATTTCCTTTCTGAGTTGAGCCAGGGTTCTTGCACATAGTGAGGACCATTGTCATGATGTGGTGTGGCCAGTTGGTGCTCAGGAATAATGAGGCCAGGGCCAAAGACTTAAGCCCCAGTTAAGCCGGTCACTTCTCTTCTAGGGCCAGAGACGTAGAACATTTTCTGCTCCTTAACTCGGCAAGCCATTTGGCAAAGGCAATGCGTTAGTCACGAGAGAAACAAGGTTCAAAGGAAATGGATCAGGATTAATCTATCATTACTGTTGGAATGTAAATGAGAGCATATGCCATGCTGATAGTCAGTCCAAATCATGGTTGGCCATGTCTCATAGCACAGAATCACCAGGTACAAAGTGTTTCATATAGCCAGTGTCATTAACAAGCCAACAAATGATTGAAAACTGCCAAGGAGAGCTGCCGTGCTCCATTGGGGAATGAGAAGAGTAGAAGAGCTAAGGGAAGAAGAGTGCCCCAGGGTGCTTCAGAGTGCACCAGGGAACAAAGGAAAATGAAGGCGTGGGGGAACTCTTCCCCTCTAAGTTAGATTGGTCAGAGATAAAGGAGATGACAGTCATTGAGATCATGGTTATTTGCCAGAGGAGTAAGGGCAGGATGAGGGTAACAAGAAGGGTCCGAGACTCACAATTATTCATTCGATTCGTCTGAATCAAGGGGGAAAAATTGAGGGCTGCAACTCAAAGGGAGAAGGTGACATGTATTCAAAAGTGGCTGAGTGGATGGGGAATGGGGATATATTGAGGGTAATTGCTGGGCAAGAAGTAGTTGATACAAAAATAGTTAAAGATAGTGACAAACTGGGGGATGAAAGAAGAGAATAAAATTCAATGAAAATCAGATGACAAGTGTTAAGCATAATACTTAAAAAAGGTAGAAAATGGCTCAAGGTGTTTCAAGATAGAAAGCACAGATTCTTAGAGAACTCTGAATTCTACATATTACATTAGACATAGTCTTGTAGGATATGTTTCATAATTAAATAAAAATATTTGTACCTAGCATTGGTAAGTATAAATTAAGAATATACAAGAAAGGATCAGAGAAAGAAACTGAAAGGAGCTATGGTTAGCTCTTGTTTGCTCAGAGGGAAGGGATTAAAATTTACTTTTTTTTTTTGGCTTTAGAAATTTTTGAGTTTTGGGTTTCTTCTTTCCTTGGACTTTTAATTTGGGTTTTTCAGATATTCTGGGAAGTCATTTAAAACAATACTGTGGAACCACATGGAGAGGAATTGATGTAGAAGGAGCTAGAATGTGTCTCATTTTGCTTGCCTGTTCGGTCACCCTCCAGTACAAGGGGTCCCGTATGGGCAGCAAGCTTCTATCACGTTATTCTCTTGGGCCGTGCACAATTTGCCTTCCCTTAGATTTCCACTAAGGGAAACGGTGGATAAGGCTTTCAAACTGACACTTCAGTGTGAAAAGTCTCAAAAAGGAATCAAGACATTAATAAGGCCACAGTGAATTTGTTCAGGTGCAGATTTTCAGGAACAGAAAGAGTAAGGGTTAATTTCCCTAAACTTGAACATCAGATTTTTTTGTACTTGGATAATTTACTCATTAGGGTGAAGCGCTGTCTTCCCATTTCTTAGCTGTGACTTAGCACGCCCATCAGTTTATTGCTTGTCATGATTTTATTTATTCAAGTGTGGAGTAGGACTGAGTTCCTGCAGTGTGACCTCACTGGGTGGTAGATGCTGTAAAATTAGCCACAGACTTTCTGGAACAGCTACAAAGCTTGGGTTATTTTTCACTTTGCTTAGAAGTCTGCTTAGTTTTGACTTTTAACCTTAGCCTCTTCTCAAAGATAGGATTATTTAGGGAAAAATCGGTGTTTAAAAACTATAGCAGTACCTAAGTTGATGTGGAATTCTGGGCATATGCTTAAAGAGCTGTAAGATATTATTACTACTATTATTATTTGATAGTGATATACATAAAGCCTCACCAGCTCCACTCTGTCCTCTGAAAAATTGGTCTCCTGAGTCCAACGTAGCTGCTTTTATATGTTCTCCGATCCATCCATCTCTGTGGGTATCTGCACATTCATACAACAGACTGATAGCTTTAGAAGGTTTTCAGGCTGTTGGCAGCTCCAGCCTTCTTTTTACTGCCTCACATTTTCCAGGATTTGGAATGTGTGGATGTTTACTGTGGTGACAAGAAGGAGCTGGAGCTGTTAATAGAGTTATTCTTGCTGAATAAACTAAACTTCTGACCTCCAAAGAATTTAAGAACTCGTCTTCATAAAGGCCTGGGTCATAAGATGTATGTTTAACGTGCAACCATCTGCAAGAGCGTTCCATTTGCATTTTTTCTCACTGCAGCGTGTTTAAAGCTCTTGTACCAATTTAAAAATTAAACCCACTTGACCATTAATTTTTCCCTTTTGGGAAAAACAAAGAGACACACAGAACAAACACATTGGGAGCCAGTTATTTGGCAGAGCTGAAAGAGAGGGATTCCGGGAGAAGGGGAGGGGAGAGTAAGCTACAATAGTTTTGTGGTATGAGGTTTCACTAACAAAGAGCTTCAAGTCGAGCATTTATAAAACTGTCAGGTGCCTTTGACTAATGTCCTGTAGATGGAGTTGAATAAAACCCCTCGTCCCTGGTATTTTCACTTTGAGAGTATTGTGTAACTTGGTAGTGTTTTCCACAAACCTAATTTGTTACATCTGTTCATATGTGTGTGAAGGTCATATATGTGCGTGTGTTTTAAGATCCTAGAATTGTAAGAGTTCATGTCTGCCCTCTTTGGGGAATATTGAATAGTACTGTGATTTCTTTGGATGGTGGGGAATAGCAAGACTGGACTAGGAAAATCCCCATTCAATACTTAATTGTTTCCCGTGTTTGGCGTTTCTCGTTAGAGGAGGATTCTTTGAGTCATAGTGTTTCCCTTAGTGTTACTGCCGGTACATGAAGTACTGGTTGTCTAAGAGCCAAGTTGTGCTCAGGAATAAAGTGTTACTAGTGAAGTTCCCTCTGGAAAAAATGGATGGGTTTCAGATCATGCCTAATAGGAGAGAAAAACTATTACTGCATTTGGATGTTTGATTATTCTTTAAGGTGAATGCATAGGAGCAATGATGTATTGTACAAAATTACTCACAGATGTTGGAAAGAATTTCCCTAGCATGTATTCCTGCCATTTGGGACACACATGCCTCTGTATGGGCATTTTTTGCTCTTTAATAAATAAATAAACCAGAAAAAACATGGTATGTATAGCAATGTGTGCAAATAGATATGTGCTGAACTTAGTAGCCTTTATGAATGTGTTTGTTTCTGATTTTTATTGAATTCTGTTTCTTATTGGCTTTTTTTTTTTTGGCCTTACCTGAGAATGCACTTGGTTAGGCTGAGAACAATCCGTTGCCATTGTTATGACTGTTATTTACTAATGCTCTGCCTCTCTGTCATTCACAATCCTTTCACTTTCTTACTGGTTATTTACAGCCATTGAAGAAAAAGTGAGAGAAAGAAAACTGGTACTTGCCAAAGACGGTTCTCAGTACTGTGCCTTTGAATCGCCTTGGGAGCTTTTTCAGGTGTTTGTTTAGTCTCGGTTGGCATTTTGGTATTGGTGTTTTGTCAAAGTTCCCTAGGGGATTCTAACGTGCAAACAAGGCTGAGAACCACTGTCTCACGGCAAAGAGTGGATGCCCTAGCCCTTTGCAAGTTCCTTGACCTTTTCCATTGAAGGAAGACACATGCATTATTACTTTGCTTTCCCAGGTGTAAAATGGACGTAGGGACTCCTGCTTACCCCACAGTGCAGATAGTGTCTATCGAGATCCTCTGATGAGGGAGCAGGGTTGTTTAATCACTGTGCTGACGAGAAAGAGGGTCTGGCTTTGCTCCTCAACATGAACTGCACAGAGGATTTAAGAGGCTTAACAAACAACTGGTAGTACCACTCTTCCTAATTCATTGACATGGGGAGAGTGCACCTTCCTTTCTGTTGATTTCTCAAATGAGCCAGATGCATACTTTTCTTTCTGTGTGCCCTCCGCTGAATTATTTTTGAGACATTTTAGAAACCCATAGTATTAAGGAAAGTTGTTGGCAACTTAAAATAGTGACTATCATTGTAATGAGAAGACTCAGTACCAGGTGTGAGAGGAAGAATGCTGTTTGTATGAGGACCTTCTTCATCTGATGCATTTTTCAAGGAAGGAAACTGATTTTGGGAATCAGTGTTTTCAGGGTAATTAATTGGAGAAAGAAATGATTCTTTTTTTTTGAGACAGGATCTTACTTCGTCGTGCATACTGTAGTGCAGTTGTTGTGATCATGGCTCACTGCAGCCTTGATATCCTGGGCTCAGGTGGTCCTCCCACCTCAGCCTCCCGAATAGCTGAGACCACAGGTGCACACCACCACACCCAGCTCTTTTTTTTTTTTTTTTTTGTATTTTTTGTAGAGATGAGGTTTTACCATGTTGCCCATGCTAGTCTCAAACTCCTGGGCTCAATCCATCAACCCACCTTGGCCTCCCAAAGTGCTGGGATTATAGTGCACCATCTTACTCAGTCTCAAGCTAATTAGTCAAAAGGCAATCCTTTGTAGTGGAATATGGATCTGTGG